GGTAGGTCTACAACTGGAAACCACTGGTTTCCACAGGACAGCACAGACAGCAGATTCACCTGGTGAAGCCACGAAGAATGTTTTGGTGCTTATATTATCATTCAGCACGACTGGTTTGGTGGTGGGTCAGTGATGGTCTGGGGAAGCAGACACCATGACTACCATTAGGTATTGGGATGAAATCCATGGACCCATCATCAGACTTTACACTAGTGCAGACGGTCTTGGTTCCTCCTGGTGCACAACAGTGCCCGAGTATTCCTTCATCCTCTGATCAGAGCATTGAAGGATCAAGAAATTGATATGACTGACTTGCCCTTACACAGACGTAAATCCAACAAAACACCTCCAGGACATTACTGTATATGAAAGTCCATCCATCACTGCCAGGTTCAGACTGTCCAGGAGCTCAGTGATACCCTGGTCCAGATCTGGAAGGAGATGCCCCAGGACACGATCTGTTGTCTCATTAGGAGCATTCCCTGTCAATGTCAAGGGACATTGTTTTTCTATGTAACATTGAACCTACAGATATGCAGTGCTTGTTCCCTGCCAGGCTTAATCTAGTGTTAAAAGTATCGGTCTGTTACATCATGCGGTGGCTTACCAGTGTCCTGGAATGAAGGTGGATTGATTCCTTTGAACATTCCAGTCTGCAATGACAGAGAATCAAACAATAAATCTGTCTGAATGTACTATCAGGGAAGGTCCTATGTGCACAGTGATATGTCATAAGCCATAATGACAGTGTGGGGGGCAGATGGCCACAAGGCCACAAGGCACAGTCAACAAACCCGCACAAATTTCCCTCCCCACTCCAGCCTAAGAAATGTATAATAAGGACTACCCATGGAAGGAGAGGGCCAGCTCCCCAGTTCCCCACACCCCACCAGATCCGGGGCTGCCACAACAACATTCTGGAGTATGATCTACGTGAGCACCAATTGACTGTAGTGTTTTCTACACTCACTGGTCAGCACCCACTATCCCCACTGCAAAGGGTAGTTTAGAGTATGCCGATGACGGGCTTGGATCATCTGCATACTGAGTCCTAACATCAGTCACCCACTAAATAAACAAAGGACCAAAAAACAGGAACAAGCTAGCCTGGCCCGAGTTTGACACATGCTTCTCCCAATGTGCTCAAACTATCCTCTTACTGAGGATTCATTTGGTGGCTGAATTAAAGTTATTTCGGACATTTTTTTTCCACCGATGCATTTTTATTTATTATTGCAGATCAAAATTAAGTAGCTTTGTTTTACATATGTACAGAAATACATTATCACTGTAAAGACCACTAACAATGGTGCTGTAGACTTTAAGATATCATGTTACTGATATATATTCCGTCTTTAACAATTCTACGATGAAAGAAGTGCTATTTCAAAAAAAGACATCCTGATATGTTTACATTAAAAAAAAAACATATAATGATCTTACCAGAGTTCATTCCTGCTGCCAAAGACAGCTGAACAATAAGCCAAAATCCACTGAGTTTCAACATAGCTGTGACGCTCTGTGAAGTGCAGCTGAAATGAAGTTCACTGTGGATTCAGCAGATAGACGAGCTTCAGGTTATATCTCTGCCCACATTTGGTTAGATAGTAATGTAAATGACAAACCTGCATCTATGCCCATGCAGTTAAACAGTTACTTCACTGTTTAAAGTGTGTGCACCAACATATTCTTTCTGCTCTGACTGTGAATTACTACCATTCATAACTGACTCAATTTCCTAATTGACACATGCAAATGTTGTAAGTGTAGATCCCACTGAGATGTCCCAGCAGACAACTTCACTTTTAAAACGGCAAGTAGATTATTTACAAGGTGCACTGCTGTTAAGAACATCATGTGAGAGATGAAAAAAAGACTCCCACCTCATTAAAATGAGTCAAGATTAAATATTAGAGTCTTTATATTTCAAGAGAGAATCTATTGTAAGAGTTTGACTGTTTTGTAAAAAAATATCACACATAAAAGTGGAATGAAAACTGTGACATTAGTAATAATCATATCCTAAGTGCACTGAACAACAGCCGATGCTAAGAAAATAAGCTCGAGATGTTCACAACAACAGTCGCCTCAAGGTGCTTTATATTGTAAGGTAGAGCCTACAGAGAAAAAACCAACAATCATATGACCCCTATGAGCAAGCACTTTGGCGACAGTGGGAAGGAAAAACTCAATTTTAACAGGAAGAAACCTCCGGCAGAACCAGGCTCAGGGAGGGGCGGGGCCATCTGCTGTGATTGGTTGTGGTGAGAGAAGGAAGACAGGATAAAGACATAAGAAAATCCACCTGCCAAACTCCTTGTTGACTGCTGGTGACTGCCCCAACAACAAACTTGCCCACTCTTGCTTAAAATATGACTTTAGCTGCTTAAACAAATGGATGAATGGAACCGTAGAATATCCTGTTCAGTCTGAGACAATCTGGGGAGCTGTTTTCAGCAGTTTACCCCTAACTGGATTAGTACTGGATGTGCACTGCTGCACGTTTTCAGTTATTGACAGTTTTTGCAGGGCTGGACTGGGACAAAAATGTATATGTGTATAGATTTCATTTTGTATGATTATTATTATTGAAAAAGGTTTTAATCAGGTACAGTTGTTGTTGGGTTAGTTCTTAGTTGCCTGCAACATGTGACAATAATTAAAAGTCACACTTGAGCTATTAGCAGTGACTCGTGATCAAAGCAACCGTTCATTTTAATCCTTGAATCTCTCCCTTCCTGATTACGTCCCTTCATCTGTTTTCTTACCATTTAATTTCACCTTCCTCCATCTCTTCCTTACTTCTCCACAGCTGATGCGAGCAGCAGGTCTGGTTACTAGCTGCTTGTAGCTGTTACAAGCTGTTACTAGTTGTAACTAGTTGTTGCTGGTACTGTTCAAAGGTATGCCAGATTACCAGTCCAGCCCTGGTTTTTGCTCCAATGAACAGAGACAGTTGAAAAGCAAACACTGGAGCCTGTTCAAACCTGAAACTGTCTGAAGCACTGGGCAGCATTGTGGTTCAGTGGTTTTTATAGTTTTCTTTCTGAAGTATCTACCCCGTCACGTCTGAGTTTGGTAACTATGGTTCTCGTTCTCTACCTTGGTTGTTAGTTTCCTGTTGTGCTCTTCCCAGTTGTGTTGTGTGTCTGTCCAATATCTTTGTGTTCTGTCTCTATGTCAAGCTCACGTGTCTTTATCTGTGTGCGTATGTGATACTTGCTGTTTTATTGTGACAGACCCTCATCTCGTGTGTGTCTTCAGTTTTGCGTCCCCTCTCTGCCTGATTCCCTCTTTTGTATATATCGTCTGTTTCTCTGTCATCATCATCTTACCTTCCCTCACACTGTGTGTTCAGTTTGTGTGTAGCTTCCCAGTGAAGAAAATCCTTAGTATCAGCCCAATGTGAAGTGTCACTGATTACTAATTGTTTGCCCTTCTTTTCAATTTAACTCAACAGATGCCTTTCCCAGATATCTTAGCAAAAGGTGATAAAGGGAAGAAGAAAACTGAGCAGGTGGCTGACCGTCCTCTTCCCTGAAATTATGTGCTCTCATTTGTGAAGAGAATGGGATGCCATGGCAGACCAGCCAGTTCCAGTATTCTTTGGGGAACGTCAGACGATTTGGCTGGTGCTGGAATGTGAGCGCGTCCCGCTACTAAAGGACTGGCAGCGTTTGTTCTGTTCCTCATTGCACAAAGACAGCGGTCCTGAGGCACAGTGCTTGCCTTTCTACAGTCCTGTCCTGCTTCCCCTGGTATCTCTACCACAGTCTTTCACAGCGGACGTCAGCTGCACCTAAACTGAAACATAACTCTGCCGTCTGCACAGAGTTTCTGCAGCACCAGCGAAACGTTCAGCGTGATTCTTGGTTTAGTTGCCAGATGTTTTTCATTTTAATTCTGCTTGTTTTTTATAGCTCAATAAAAGCCATTTGAACACAGTTATTTGTTTTTCAAAACAAATTGTTGTAGTTTTCTGTTTTGGTCTGTTTGTTAGCAGAATTAAATGTTCAGGCACAGGAAGTGAGTTTTCATTGTAAAACAAAATCTCATCAATCCTTTGTTCTTTTTTTGTAGTTTTAAGTGAAAATTTACATAAAGACATACAGCAGCAGAAGATTTTTATTACTTTAAAATGTTTTTAACAACAAATATAGCAAAGTGAACAGTACTAATGTTTTTATGGCAGTATTATCATGTTATTACATGAAGTAAAGCCAGTGTTTATTAAGCTCAGGTCTTTCAGTATTCACATCCATCAGTGTGTAGTTGGTAAGAACTGTAATTAACAGTATACTGTAATTACTGTAATTGCACTTTTTTTTTAAATAGCTGGTAAATGATGGTATTAATTATGGAATAAAAGTACCAGATTTTTCACATAAAACGACTTTTTTATTATCTTGTAAAAATATGGACATTTTCTTTATTTTAATTGTGAAAAACTTGATGGTAAATTTCTCTTATTTTATGCATTTGTTTCTGGCGCTCCAGCTGCCAGAGTGTTACCAGCATGCTTGGCAGAGAGAGAACCTGACGCTGTTTAAAGGTTAACATGGATTCTTTTGTGAATATTAAATGTTTTGCTCTTGTAATGACCTTTAGTGGTCGATCACTCCTAGAAGAGTAACTGTTGCTCTTGACAATTTTGAACGTGGACTTTGTATCTGAACTCTTCAGAGGTGGCTTTGTAACCTTTTCCAGTGTGCAAAGCAACAAGAAATCTTTTCACTGAATTCTTCAGAAATCTTCCTTTTTTAGCACATATCATTCATTGATTAGGTTCTCCTTCTGACTTATAAATTCATTATTTTTTATGTTATTTTTCTGTGAAAATATGGAAAATCTCAAAGGATTCACAAACTTTTGCTATACTTGTCTTAACACCTTCATGTTTGATACTGAGAGGCATTCAGTCTGTTACCACATGGCTGTTTCCAGGTCACTGATAATCCTCCCCAATCTTCTTTTCTCCTCATTAGCCATCTTACCCGCTGCTGCGCTCACAGTGAAGCCTGTGACTTATTCTGAAGAACACTAATTTCACATGCTGTGGCTTGGACCTTATGTTAGTGCTGGGAATACTGGTAAATAGTAATATATGCTTCCACTGTATGTAATACTGGGACATGACAGCTAAATGGATGTTTAGATCAGCAAAGAACTTTGAAATGAAGCTAATAAATGCATCGTCTCAAAGAGCAAACTGCGTTTTGATGGTCACATCAGTGTGGTTTGACTGATTCTGCAGCTACACCTGGTTTGTGTATAACGGGGTCTGCAGGTGAAACAACCCGAAGGGAGATTTTTGAGTCAGATCAAGATTCCCCAGCAAAGCATCAGGATAGAAATCAAGAAAAACAGCAAGATTCCTAACAAAAGGTATGTCCACACGTGACACATGTTGACCTCATATGTGTTTATAAAAACACTTTACATGTTGTGTGCTAATGTAAAAATTCATAACTAGAGACGTGTTGTTCAGCTAACATACTGCAACAAGTAACAAAAAAGGAACATCGGTTGGTTGAAGACTTAATCGAACTCACAATGAAGGCTTGTCTTGTTGGATGTCATGTATATACTACTGACATGTACAAAGCAAGGGCAGGAACTGCTTTCTCTTCACTTCTCCGTGTACCATAGCCTGAGACATCCTGCATGTGAACTTCACTCAGAGATGGAGAAAGATAAGCACAACAGACCAGGAGAGGAGGAAGCGCAGTTATATTCAAAGGTAAGGATGCTGTTTGATAAACTGGAAATATAAAGTTTACATGTAAGTGTTTTTAAACCAGATGCTGTGTCTGTACATGTGACAGTGTCTTGAACAAAGGTAACTTTGTGTTATTTAAAAACAGTCATCAGATTAGTGCAGGTTAACTATTAGTTTACTGTACTGTGAAGTTAAAGTACTGAACAGCATGTGACTGGTGCTCATGGTCAGAGTTACATCTAGTGTTTAAAGTTAAGCTGGTGATGCTTCAGTCAGTCATTGAACTTTCTACTGTAGAGCATAGAAATCAGCCAGGACAAAGGCTGCTGAATGCAGTGGTATAAATGCACTCAGAGCAGCACACATCAGCTGATCACAGCCTGCACACTAAAGACATCTCAATAGAAATGATTGTGCTCATCTGACTCATTTCCCTGTTTAGAGACAAAGTTGTTCTCTACAACAGGACATAGCCATTATTTATTTATTTATTTCCTTCTTTTTCTCTGCTCGTGTTCTACAAGCTAAGTCCACTTATTAGACTTGTTGGTATTCCCCGTGTACTGACATTATTTTGTTACTAGAATAATATTTTAGCCTTCTTACTTTGAGTACTTTTCAGAGCATGTACTTTTTCACTTTTACTTGTGTAAAAAAGTTGAATCTGACCATCCTGCAGCTGGACTAAACATCACAGCTGTCCTACAAACCAGTTTCCTGTCAGGATTTTGCTTTTTTGTTTGTTTTGTGTGTTTACTTATTTCTTCCTGGAAAGATAAAAAAATATCACTCATCTAAACGATATGAGATGGAAACCTGTTGGTCATTAGTCAAGTAGTCAAACCCACACCAAGGTGTCCACATATTATTTCTAAAGGCCTTGTTAAAGAGGAGGCCATGCTGTATACACCAGGGGTCTTAAAGTCACAGCCCAGGGCCCACCTGTGGCCTACTCACACTGATGTGAGGAGATATAATGCAGCCTTAAAGTGACTTTTTTGTTTGTTGTTGAGTGAAATGTTAAAATAAGTTCTTCAAATGATTGAATATGAAGGCAACATGAGCAGAGGCACAAACATGAGAGGGTGTGTTAGTTCACTGACAGACTCACAAACTAATGCGCACACTTATGTCTGCACTTCGGTTTTGTTAAATATGAACACAATGACAGCAGAAGTGCTGCCACGTGTGCACAGGCAGAGAGGACCAATGAGTTTATTTGGTAGTTCAATGAAAGGCTTCAGTTAGTTAAGAGGGAGGAAAATGCAGTTTTATCTTATTATGCAATATTTGATATTTAAAAAACAACTACATTTTCAGAAATGTTTCTTTGTTTGTTGGTTTGTTTGTTTGTACTACTTGAACACTAACGTGGCCCACAGCGCATTTGGTTTGAGACCCCTGGTACACGCAGCTTGAACCTGGGGCCTGAGGAGGGCCTGTTGCTCGGACGTTGTAATGAGTACGGCCGCCCTGCAGGTGGAGGCCGGGCTTCCTAGATCTGCGAATGGGAGGAGGCATTGTTGTTATAGTAAAGGCTGAACCACGGTCAGCGTTTTCTCCTCGCGTTACTGATCCGCGAGTGTTGGACAGAATATTGGTGGTTTGGGAGCGATGGAAGGAAAACGGGGAGGAAAGGAAACGTAAGCTGACTTTTCTGTCTTTGTGTTGTCGCTCTGTAAGTTTTTCTAAGATAGAGTTATTTAGCACACAAGAAACTGTCGTCATTGCATCGTTACTCCACGTAAAACGCCCCAGCAGTAATCTGTAAACTCTGCGGGCTGTGCTGGCGGAGCCGTCCGCGTGCATGTGTCGCGTTACAGGGTCGAGCTCATCTTCAGGTTCGTGTTTTTTAAATCAGCGACATCTCCACACTGTGGAAACGTCGAGGCGCTGCCTGAGCTGTGACTCTTCATCACAGCAAGAAACAAAGACACAGCTGAACAAACAAAACGCAACGACGGACCCATGTTCCTCCTCATGTTCCTCCTCATGTTCCTCCTCATGTTCTCCTCATGTCCTCCTCATGTTCTCCTCATGTCCTCCTCATAGGTGATATCTCTGATTTCTAAACCTGTAGCTTTGATGCTTAGGCATATAAACATTAACGGAGTTACACAAACTCACCGTTGAAACAACACAAATCAATGCATTTGATTAGAGGACTGGACGGTAACGTGTGTGCATGTGTCTCAGATGGAGTGATGGACAGCAGAGTATGTGAACTTCAGTGTAAACGAGGCCAGACTCCATTATTCCTGCTGTGATGGAGATCCCCATCCTGCTGCCACTCGCCCTGGCCTTGCTGGGGTTTCTGTGCCCATGTGTGACAACACTGACTCCCAGAGTCTCCTTCCCCATGGGTGAGTGAAGCCTTTGAAACATCACGTGCATTTTTACCCCCTTTATCATGTTGGGTCATTTAAATGTATTAGGGATAGAACAAAGCACAGCGATGTGTTTGTTCTCTCACGTCTTTCATATACGAAATCGATTCTTGTGCACAGATATTGTGCTGAAACCTCATGAATTTAAAAAAAGGGCAAAATCATGTTAATCAAATTAACTGGGACACAAATGTAGTTGACAGTTATCATGTTAGATGGAGTACTGTGAGATTGTACACTTCAGTGTCTGATTATAATGCAAGTACAGGGCACTGTTTCAGTGCTTGTTTCACATGTAAGTAAAAAAAGAGGTTGAAATTCTGGAAGATGCATAAAAAATAACAGCAATAGTATCCGTGCACAACCACTTTCGGATCTCTTCAGAGATGTTCGGTCAGGTTCTGGTTGGGCTACCCAAGAACATCGACACAGTGAAGCCGCTCCTTTGTTATCTTGGCTGTGTTTCAGTACCTCTGGAGCAGGTTATCATCAAGGATGTCTCTGACCCTGACTAGTCCCCTAGTTCCTGATGGTGCATGATGCAGCCCCCACCGTGCTTCACTGTAGGGATGGTAGGGGCCAGGTGCTAAGCAGTGCCTCCAGAGTATCCTCCACATATGGTGCTTGGTATCTAGACCACAGAGTTAGATCTTTGTCTCATCAGATCAGAGAATTTAGTTTTTCATGGTCTGAAAGTCCCTCAGGTGACTTTTCCACCTGGCCGTACAGGCCTGATTGGTGGAGTGGTGCAGAGATGGTCATTCTGGAAGTTTCTCTTTTCTCCACAAACCAACAGTGGAGTTCTGTCAGAGTGACTTTGAACTTCTTGATCATCTGCCTTACAACGGCCCTTTGACTCCAAGCGCTGGTTCCAAACTTCTTCCTGAGGCCTCTGTGCTTATTGGGACCTTCAATGCTGCAGAAATGTTTCCTCTCCCCAGATCTGTGTCTTGGTTTAATCCTGTCTCCGAGGTCGGCACACAGTTGGTTGGACTTCATGGCTTGGTTTGTGCTCTGACATGCACTGTCAATTATGGGGCCTTAGACAGGTGTGGCATCCAATCAGCTGGATTTATCACCAGTCACGTGACACTTCACAGATTATCAGTGGAAACAGAATTGAGCTGACCTCAAGTTTGAGTGTCGTAGCAAAGGCTGTGAACACGTATGTACGTTATATTTTTTTACATTTCAACCTTGTTTCACTTTGTCATTATGGACTATTGTGTTTAAGCTTTGAGGTAAAATGAATCAGGTTATAATGAAATGTGGATTCTTTCTGTGTGCACTGTGAATTGTGTGTTTAGTGTTGAATAAGTGACTAGATAGCGTGGTCACAATATTTTCTGTGGCATAATAAACGTGGAAGAGACGTTTCGCAGACACCGAGTTCTTCGACATCTAAGCAGTTAACACTCTGTAGCCGGTTATATCTGGATCCTTTTAGTTATCTGTGGATATTTAATCCTAACATGCTTTGTCCTGATACAAACTGCTGTTTGATAACAGATAGTCCTGGGAGACGTCTCATCCGCTTCAACAGCCACGATGTCAGCAACACCACCACGCTGCTGCTCAGTGAGGATGGGGACATATTATATGTTGGAGCCCGGGACTCTGTGTTAGCACTGAATGTTAGCCACAAGGACAGCATCATACTGAGGAACAAGGTAGGGGCTGACTGTTGACAGATGCACACTTATGCATATTGACATAAAGTCACTTGAGATTATGCAAATGCAGATCAGATGGTCTCTGTTAGGAATTAGACTGTGAGGCTCTAAACAGACGTCCATGTGACTACCAATTGTTTATGACGGCCCGACTGCAGAGACAGTGAAACAACCATGTCTGTGCCCTGCTGGTGGTCTTCAAAGAAGCCTAACAAGAAGGACTACTTGGCTGTCAAGTCTTCAGCTTCACAATCACTGCTTCACCATCACCTGTACTTTTTTAAATTTAAAGAACTCAAAAGAAAAACAGCACATTTTTTATTAAACTATTCTAAAGTATTTTTGCAAAACATTGCAGGCAGAGTCTCTGTTGCCAAGTTAAAATATATTGAAATATTTATTGTGTTTAAAGCATGAAATACTGGCTCAAAGATAGACGAGGAACCTGGCGCTTCATCCTTGTAGCCTGCACACCACAGCCTGCTTCTATTTTCATTCATTTTTTTTCACACTTGACGTTCAGACAGTAGTTTGAGAATTAGATCAGGACCTTTTCCACGTCTCCTTTCTCGTGTACTCCTATGTTAGCTAAGCTTGCCACATCTTGGCACAATCCGATAATCCAGTCTGTGGACTAGAGAGTACGTCCAGTATGACTAGTTTGACGTTTGTGTACTCGTATGTACCTCACACATTCAGTGTCACAGTTTGCAATAATCACACAGTAAAAAAGTGAAAGCATTTTTAACTGTTCCTGTTTGATGTGCTATTTAAGTCAGGAGACCACGATGCAGAAACCAGTATTTTATGTAGAAGCAGGCAGCTTTTTAAAATCGCTAAATGAATTTCTAAAGGTCCTTCTAAACATTCGGACAAACACAAACTGGGTTAAATCCTTTGTGACTGTAAAACTTGTAGTGCCTGCTTTTGGTGTATTTTTAAAAAAATGCAGTCTCGAAAAGAAATGTGTTCTGGCCCGTGCTGTGATCTTTCACATCACGATCTTTACACAAACCTGCGGCTGTGGTTAATGTGAAGAACTTGATGAACTCTCCTCTTCTCTCAGCTGGACTGGACTCCTTCACATGAAGACCTTGAGCAGTGCTCCATGAAGGGAAAGAAAATGGTAAGTGTTCTGTTTGAATGTATGAACAAATGCTTTGAACCTGTTAAATTACAAATATACAAACCAAACGAGACAAAGGTGCCAATAATGTTCCAGCCCATATGGAAAAGATAGATATATATAAGATATTTATAAATCTTATAAAGTTTGTATCTGTCTTGTATGAAACTTGTATGAAAAGCATACAAGAGTGAAAACACATATAAGATCCCTTGAAAAATTATATAATGAAACTTGTATGTTTTGTATACTTACTAAAAAAAAAAAATAAAAGTACTGAGAAAGTGGCCACTTTCATGAGTAAATCATATGTTTTTACTATTTCTTTTCCATATGGGAGCTGGCAGTTACAGTCCCTTTTGATGTAACATGAGAATGTTTGAAGTTGAACCAACAGGTCCTGGTTTAGACAAACCGTTAACAGTTTTACATGAGCTGGTTTTGTTGAAATGTTAAACTTTGTGTTTCCAGGCTGACTGTCCCAATTTCATACGTGTGCTGCAGTTCCTGAACACCAGCCACATCTATGCCTGTGGAACGTTCGCCTTCAGTCCACGCTGCACCTACATCGTAAGGCATTTAAGTTGTTAGTTTGTTTAACACTGTGACAGTGTTACAGTGTTACTCACTGTTTAGTGATTGTAGCATAAACTTGATACAAAAAAGCTTGAATTTCCCTTTTTGTGTGTTTGTAGAAATGGTCCATTTAGCATTCACTTCAGTAGCAGCTTGACTTTTTCTCCTTGTCTTCCCAGAACACTGACACATTAACAATGAGCCTCAAGCCTGATGAAGGGAGAGGTCGATGCCCCTATGACCCTTATCAACGCAATACGGCTCTCGTTGTAGGTGAGGAAATGATGCCACAGCATGACTGGATTATTACAACTCTATTTTGGTGTCTCCCAGTGATCCCTGTCCCAGTTATCCCTGTCCCAGTTATCCCTGTCCCAGTTATCCCTGTCCCAGTTATCCCTGTCCCAGTTATCCCTGTCCCAGTCGTCCCTGTCCCAGTCGTCCCTGTCCTGTCCCTGTCCCAGTCATCCCTGTCCTGTCCCAGTCATCCCTGTCCTGTCCCAATCATCCCTGTCCCAATCATCCCTGTCCTGTCCCTGTCCCAGTTATCCCTGTCCTGTCCCTGTCCCTGTCATCCCTGTCCCAATCATCCCTGTCCCAATCATCCCTGTCCCAATCGTCCCTGTCCTGTCCCTGTCCCAGTTATCCCTGTCCCAGTTATCCCTGTCCCAATCGTCCCTGTCCCAATCGTCCCTGTCCCAATCATCCCTGTCCCAGTTATCCCTGTCCCAGTTATCCCTGTCCCAGTCGTCCCTGTCCCAGTTGTCCCTGTCCCAATCGTCCCTGTCCCAGTCGTCCCTGTCCTGTCCCTGTCCCAGTCGTCCCTGTCCCAATCATCCCTGTCCTGTCCCTGTCCCAATCATCTCTGTCCCAATCATCCCTGTCCCAATCATCTCTGTCCCAATCATCCCTGTCCCAGTTATCCCTGTCCCAATCATCCCTGTCCCAGTTATCCCTGTCCTGTCTCTGGCTGGTGGAAAATGCAGGATTGCACAGCTGCAGGATTTATTGGGGAATTCACAGCATGAAGCACTTTTGATGACTTCAAACACGAGCAGTTTTGAAGTTAACCTGGGTAGTAATGGTTCTTGCAGAGCTTATTACCTTCAGGCTGCAGCTGTGCAGTGTTTGCTGTGACCACCTTTATCCTTCATCAGAGCCTGAACTCGGTTCAACACAGTATGAACTTTGTTATGTTTCTTGTTATTTCTTTAATCGCTCTCAGGAATAGTTGTCCATGTTCTTGGAGGACATTTCAAACCTCTTATTTGAATGTTACCCCAACCTATAAATGCCTTTTTTTCGATTAGCGAAGGCTAATCCACGATGATGGGTGTGCTTTTACTGCATTATCAGCCGGTTTGGGATCTTTGTGTTGCTGAACATGAAGCCATTACCAATCAGAATCTTTCCATTAGTAGATTTTTGATCATTGTTTTAAAGATAAAAGGCCTTATTTTATCTTTTACCTTGAAGAAGGTCGGAGTTCCAAAGTAAGGTGATATTTAGAATGTGCATGTCTCAGTACAATGGCAGTAAGAAACACTGCTTTAAATGGCTTCATATATCATCATTATCACTTTGACCTGCAGATCAGTCTGTTGACCTTGAGGAGGTCAGAGGTCAAATGTGACATGACATTTTAAATCTTTATCAAATACTTTCTGCATGTTGATTGCGCACGCCACACATGCAAGTTATAGCGCGACCAATAAATCAGCTTGGTGAACGTAAGACGGTGGATTATTGACATGATTCTACTGTGTAAAGTGGAATCACGTTGAGTCCACTGAGAACTTTCATCGTGTTTACAGACAGTGTGTATGCACACAACCATGCTGCCAACAGTGTGTATGCACACAACCATGCTGCCAACAGTGTGTATGCACACAACCATGCTGCCAACAGTGTGTATGCACACAACCATGCTGCCAGCAGTGTGTATGCACACAACCGTGCTGCCAGCAGTGTGTATGCACACAACCGTGCTGCCAACAGTGTGTATGCACACAAACGTGCTGCCAACAGTGTGTATGCACACAAACGTGCTGCCAACAGTGTGTATGCACACAAACATGCTGCCAGCAGTGTGTATGCACACAACCGTGCTGCCAACAGTGTGTATGCACACAAACATGCTGCCAGCAGTGTGTATGCACACAAACGTGCTGCCAGCAGTGTGTATGCACACAAACGTGCTGCCAGCAGTGTGTATGCACACAAACATGCTGCCAGCAGTGTGTATGCACACAAACATGCTGCCAGCAGCCACAAAGATGGTCGAATATATTTTCATTGTGTCGCTGTTGCTCGTCAGTATGATGTTAGATGTTGTCATGTGTCTCAGATGGAGAGCTTTATACTGGCACTGTGGCAGACTACAGGGGGAACCGGCCAGTCATCTCAAGGCACCTCAGCGAGGGCAAGCGTGTCGACCTGAAGCTGGATGACACATTAGGATGGTTGGAGGGTGAGTGCAGCGAGTTCTTCCCCAACCTCAGATATTTGAATTTCTTTAATATTAGATACGTTTATGGCGTCTTAGATCAGTATCAATCCATTTGTTTGCTGGCACATCTTGTCTGTTACCTGTTATGTGGTGGGAATCACAAACATTGTAATAAGTGTTTCTTATTTCTGTTTAATTCTTGAAAATGTACTTGGATTTCCAGCTTTACCATGTCTTTCACACATTGTTTCCAGTAACTTACATTTCTGCTTATGTTACCTTCTGTTTGCCATAGATCCAACTTTCATCAGTTCCACATTTATTCCAGATGAAGAGAAAATTTATTTCTTCTTCACTGAAGTGGGCAGAGAGTATGACTTCATCGACAAGTTCATCGTCTCCCGTGTCTCTCAGATCTGTGTGGTAAGTGGGAACGACGGTGTCTACGAACCGTCCAAAGAGATTCTGCAAAGATTTAGCAGTGCTCTGATATTTGGAATTTTCTCCCAGGAACAAACAAACTTCACGAGCAGACCAAACCCGTCACGCAAACACTAATAGTCCTCATTCAGACACAGGAAACAGACAGCCAGTCACATGTGTGTCCAAGGCTACAGATGCAGTTATAGCATAACAAACCTTAAAATGCACTGAATGTTATGTGTTTATGAAATACAATGGGTGAATGTGCCTGCAAAGCCCTTTTAGTGGTCAGTAAGGCTGAATGTCACCATCACAGGCTGTAATAACAACTTTGTCTCTTTTGATCTTCTCAACATGAACTGGAGTGATGTCAGTATTTAAGAAATCCCCCTGTAAGGTAACTTCTTAGTGCGTCTGACGGTGCAGGGGAACTTAGTCAGCAAGGTGAAGCTGAATTTGTGACTCCACCCACATGACTGGATGACATCTCCAAGATTTCTACCTGTCAGGATTGTTATTCATAATTCTGTCAAAGGGCTGTAACTCTGACCTTTCTGTAATATTATGTACATGATAACATCACAGTGTTCTCTCATTTGTCAGAGTGATGTTGGAGGTCAGCGGACCCTGCAGCGACGCTGGACCACGTTCGCAAAAGCTCAGCTGCTTTGCCAAGCTGACCATGAGCTGCCCTATAATGTGCTCCAGGACATAGACACCCTCCTGCCTGCAGAGGGCGCTCCTGTGGATGACATACTCTTTTATGGCATATTCACCTCTCAGTGGTGAGTGATGATGTCTCCTGAAAAAAATCACCATGTTTCCATTAATACAAACTTGCTGTTGAGATTGAGAAGCACAGTTTTCAGATCTTTGACCTACTGTGTAGGTGAAGCATGCGTAGATTTGATCTTTGGGGCATTTAGAAAACTGCAGTGATGTATCCATGCCATCTGACCGGGGAAGCATTCAAATCTGAGGGATGTGCTCTTCTGTACCAGTCAAGGAAGGCTCTCGTCATGCTCACGAGTCCTCCAGGCAGTCTTTCTGTGGCCTTCAGGGGCGAATTGAGGGTTGATATAACCAGGGCTGCACATAAGTGGTCCGCAGGTGTCAAAATAAAAGACGCGCACCAGATAAGAAGTTGCAACGCACGTAAGATTTTCTGGAGGAGGACAGACATTTGTTTAGAACTCTTAAAGATGTCGAAGAAGCTCCTTTAAGCAATTACTTTGGTGTTCCTCCACCTCCAAAGAATAGCAGAAGGAGTCCGAACCACAAAAGAAGCGCGTATTCTCGGAAAAGTGGTTGCAGGAGGTGAGCTGGCTTCAAACAAATAATGAACGCACAGAGATGTGGTGCAGAATGTGCCGTGAAAATCCCACTCTAGTGGACAAAAACACTGCCTTTGATATGTACGCAAACGCGCGCTGCAACTTCTTATCTGGTGCTCGTCTTTTATTTTGACACTTATGTGCACCCGTGGACATAGAATACAACAGAGAAGAAATACAATTTAAAGGACGCACATTTAAGAATGAAACAAGTTGCTTGCCGTAGTTCCATGTTTCTGATTCTTCGTGACTGTATTCTTAATGTTTGTTTTTGATTAACCAGGTCTGTCAACTCTGGGCGATCAGCAGTGTGTTCCTTCCGCCTCACTGACATCAAATCGGTCTTTTCTGGTAACTACAAAGTCCTGAACCGGGACACATTACAGTGGAGTGCACGGGTTCAAGAGAAGGTCGCAAATCCAGGCGAGGTAAATGGTTACTTATGAAAACTTATTTAGAGTAAAGTCTCCATGAACCAGCGGGTGTACGTGCACACACGCTGCCTTCATGTGCAAAAACTAATTACATATTCACAGCTGTGAGAAACTTTAATTCTCAGATGTAAAAGTTTCACGATTATTTGTCGTCTTCTTCCACGTCATTACTGCCGTCTGGTCCTTCCTGCTTTCTCACTACTTCCTACTTCTGCTCTTGGTACCAAGTTCACACTTTCACAGTTAGCTTAGCATTCTTTATACAGATGTGGATAAAATTATTAGCATGAAATTTCAAGTTTTTGTCAAAATTTTGACAAAACAGAACAAAGGATTTCCAACATAGCATTTCTAAGCATGCTAGTTTTCTTTAGAAAGCATAAATTATATATATTTACTCACAATAATAGAATTACCTGAGAAAGTGTTTTTTCCAGGGTCAGTATAAATTATCCCTGAATAACAAACCAGGTTGTGCAATGATGTGCTTTAACTCTTTAAAGCTGAAAGCTTATAAAATTAAGTTAAAACTGAGGTTCCAGTGTCTCGTGTGTCACAGAGAAAGCAGCAGCCGAAAACCAAATCAAATCTGTTTACATGAGAAAAATGATTTTTGATGCTCACAAAGCAGGAGATGGATACTCAAAGTTATCGCAGCGTTTCCGAGTTGTTCTACTGAGATGTATCATCGAGAAATGTAATGAGAGCCGAACAGGACAGAACAACTGTTGCAGAAGTGAAAGATTTTAAGAAAACGCTGCCACAACACGAGTGAATGACTTGGCCGAGTTGGGAATCGGAGTCTCAAAGAAGATGATCACTTGACTCCTGCACAGGAACTTACGACCTCAAACCAGACTCAGCCTGGAGCAGGATTAGGGGAAGTGCGTGCTTTGGTCAGATGACATCAAACTACAGCTCTTTGAGATGCTTCTTATTTTTGGATTTATGAAGAAGAAGGATATGTGACCATTTTAAACCTCAAGCACTCGGCAGCAGAAACTGGGTCATCGTTTGTCTTCCAACATGACAACAACTAAAACGTACGTCTCTCCTGGTGAACGTTATCGACTGACCTGCACAAAGCTCCGACTCGGATCTCGCTGAAAATCTGTGGGTGAACTGAAGAGAAGAGTCCATGCCATCAAACCTGGAGGAGCTACGACAAACGACTGCAGCCTGATATACAGCAAAAAGTGAAGAATAGCATCGGGGAGCTAATAATGTTAACCTCAGTATTTATTGGTTTTTTGGAAAGAAAAAAAAAGTTTGGATGAAGTTATTTGGAAAGTTGTGTCAAAAATTCCTTTCTCTGTTTAGTAACACCGGGGAAATTCAGTTTGCCAAAGTAAATGATATTTTTTCTAAATGCATCTGATAACGACTGTGTTGAGTCTGTTCCTTCCCATTCCCTGCAAGGCCACCTGGGTTGGCTGGAAGACTGTTTACTGAGCCTGGCAGGGCGAAGGACACTGTCTCAGCTGAACTCTGGACACGCACACACATACATATACTGATACTGATAAGCACTCACCGACGCATCACCCTCCCAACGCCACCTCCAACGCTTACCTCCCCTCTGATCTGGACATCGGGTCAGTTGGAGGCGCAGTCCTGTATCTCCCCCTCCTGCAGGAGGGGGAGATACAGGAGAGGTGGAGGAAGATCTCAGCCTGGGTGTTTATTGTCTTATGTAGTCTGGAAGATGAGTGGATGGTGGGGTGGGTGCAGTTTTCTCTGTGGTGGGGTTGGGTGGACTGTCCCGGGCTCTGTGGGGCCGGGAGGCGCTGCTGCACTGGGCCCCGGTCTGGATGGGCCTGGGTCCCCTTTCCCTGGCGGGTCGCAGAGTATGGGGGTGCCTACTGGGGTCAGCGGGGGAGCTGGCCCCAGGGAGGGGTCACTTGCCCCTCCCTCCCTCCCCATCTCCAGCTGCCTCCCTCTTCCCGCTCCACCACAACCACCCACACATGCAGGACCTTGGAGTAGGGGTATGTCACCAGGGTGCAGAGGAGGCTACCCCCCCTTCTGTCCCCTTCTGGCTGCCTCTGCCTCAATTTTATCCCACAACTTAGACATTCACATTACTCACACTCTCATTACACATACATATAGGATCTTGGGGGTGGGCACGATACACGAAATCCAAAGTACCATCAGGGTGTACACCCCACCCCTGGCGTCGTTGCCCACCTCTCAATGTTAAATACACGTAGACATTGAGGGCTAGCAGGAGGGACTATGCGTTTACCTGCTGCTCTCTGGCAGGTAGCTCCATGCCCTCCTGGGTTTTAATTGCACCTTAGAACACACATGCATCAACACTACAATGAGCGGGTGGAGGGAGGTTTGGAGTCTTCTCTCACCCCCGTTCTCTGCGACCTGCTGGAGCAGGGGGGCTAGTAGGAGGAGGAGTTGGCCGTCCGACTGCGGTCTGGAGTGTGGGGCCTTCCTGCTGCTGCGGAGTCGGAGCGGTCTGCCTCTCCCCACCGCAGGGAAAAGGGTAACACCACCTGGGTCTGGGTGCAGTTCCCCCCTCCAGGGGCGGGGGCACCTAGACCCGGTTTGTAGAGTACGCTTGGGGAGTGTGATCCTGTGTACAGCGTCTCTTTATGTCTGTCTCCACGTTGGTTGAGTGTGGAGTAAGTGCATATGAGAGCATGAGGGTGGGAATGGATGTTTGTATCTGTGTGTGCCTGTATGTCTGTGTCTATATGTCAGGTTGGGTATCAGACGCCACCTCTCTGGGGACATCTCAGGCCCTCCAAGGTTTGGAGGCCTATCTCCCCCCACCACCACTTCCCCTGCCAGTGGCGGACTCCCTCAGACATCGGTGCGTTGGTGGTTCTTTGTGTCCGGGGATGGGCGTCCAGGTACACACCAGCTCACTCCTTGGTGGCTGCTTATCGGGGCCTGGAGCCTGGGGCTCGCTCGGGCCACTTCGGAGGTGGGGTGCCCCCGGCCTCTCGGCCTGGGGCTCGGTCACTCAGGCACGGCTGGCTGCCGGCGGAGCTCACGGGCGCGTCACTGCAACTCCCCCTGGCTTCTGCTCCGCGGCTGCTGAGTGAGCCCTCATCTGGGACTCTCCTCAGCTCTTTCTGGGACAGTGGCGCGGCTGCCCCTCTGTTGGTCTTCCTTGGTCTCTTGTGTTCTGGGGGCCTCTGGATGTCTGGAGTTTTGATCTCCTCCATACCTGCTTCATGCCCTGGAGGACGGGGCTGTGGCCCCCCCACACCCTCTAGCAGATCATTACATGAAGGAACCTTTTAAAAAAAACAAGCGCGTCCATGCTCACAGGTGCACACACGGGTGATCACACCCACAAACTACACCCTTTTTGGCTTCTACCTCAAAGCACACTGTGTTCTGTTGATCTTATGTGCTGCACAATAATGTTTAATATTTAGTATTTACTGTCATATTCCCATATATCATTGTGATGTTGTTTATTCTATTACTCTTGTTCTCTTCTGCTTGCTTTCTTTTTTCTTTCTCAACAGGTGATCCAGGTGATTGATATATGCATTTTTTTTTCTCTACTTATTCTGTTGGTTTTTGTTTTTTGCCCTTCTCCCCCGTCCCTCTTCTCAGCTGTTTCTCTTTCCCTCTTTCTTTCTCCCCTTCTTTCCTCCAGTCAAGTCTTTCCCGTATTCAGTAAGTGAAAATAAAATAAACAATAAAAGGTGAATCAAATAGACCATTACGGCAAGGCTGGGATGGTCAATTTGGTAAAGTAAATCCGTTGGGCATCTTTCTTTGCCTTTAGACAATAATTCTGATGCAAAAGAGCCAAACGGGACAGGCAAAAAAAAAAAAAAAAAAGTTGGAGGCGCAGTCAAAGATTGCAGCGGTCCCAGATCAGATGTACACACTGGAACTCTTTCCCATGTTGCTGTCTGTGTTTATTGTGCTGTGGTGTGTTGATATCTGTGCATTCCTGTATTATCCTTCTGTGTTACACATTTCAATGTTTTTTTCCTCGCTACCTGGCCTGACCTGTCTCCCCAATGTGATGTTTGTATTGTATGTACGGTCGGCAAGGTCTGTCATCTCGGTTGTGGGCAAAAGACCTGCAGCTGACAAATAAAGGCTATCTCATCATCATCTCTCATCATCATCTCTCATCATCATCTCTCATCATCATCTCTCATCTCACCCAGATTTTAACATATTTCCTTTTCCATACTTTCATATTTCAACACACCCACTAATGTGTTCAGAATATTGTAAACTTATTAACATCGACACTGTAGTCCTTATTATAAATGTTTTCTTAAAAATTCTTTAAATGCTCTACTTCACATTTCAAAGCGCTGTTCAGATTTGAAACATGTAACTATGGGCAACATAACAGTCGGCCGGGTGAAGTGGACGAGACCCACAGGCTGAGGTGTAACCTAAATACGTTAGAGCGTTGAGTGAGTGAGCAGGGAGCAGTTTCACTGATGGCACGCTCTCTGCTGCTCATAATGTGCGATTAAAAAAGTGCCGCACAAATGGAAATGAATACAAAAATAATTAGTTTGTGTCAACTTTTGTGTTAGTGTGGCCTGCACAACGCCTCAGACAATGCCCTGCGCTTTGTCAAAGAGAACTTCCTGGCAGATGACAGTGTGCGAGCAGTTGGAAGGAACCTGACCATGGTGTCTGCTGAAAACACCTACAGCCACCTGACTGTCCAGAGGGTCCAGGCAGCCAACGGCAAACACTACACTGTCCTGTTTCTGCTTACAGGTAGGACTGCAGGCAGAGCAGTAAAATACACAACTAACACATTTCAAAGGCTGAACTCTTCCACGACTACCAGGCTGACACCTCACAGTACAGGTTATATCCTCTCAGCACTTCTTCTTGAATAGTTTTATGTTATTAATGATTTCTTTTCTGATGTTTCAGAGTCTGGTTACTTGCATAAAGCAGTGCTGCTACTCAGAGGGGCCCATATCATCGAGGAGATTCAGGTCTTTGAGCAGCCTCAGCCTGTCAGGAGCCTGAAGCTCTCCATACCCAAGGTGCACGCTGCTGCTGACGTTTGGTGGTTCAGTTCCATTTAGGTTTTTAGACTATTGGAGGCAATGGAGACAAAGACGTGGCAATGACCATAGAGAGTTCCTGTGTGCTGCTTTGAGGGTTAATTATTTATGTATTATTATTTAGCTCCAAGCTACACTGCTAAATAAAATAAAGGAACACATAGGAAACCCATCTCAAGGTCATGCTGGACGTTCATACTGATATGGACCGACGGACACGTCAGGGACAAAAGGATGTCACATTGTTGGATGCAAATGAATTCAAAGACACACTGAAAGATCAAAATGAAACTAATGATATGGCAGACTGGTCCATTTTGCCCAGATTCCATTGCAGCAACTCAAAGTAGTGCTCAGTCCTTTGTATGTTCCCCACGTGCCTTCTATGCCTGACAGCATCAGGGGAATCTCCCAGTGAGACAGCAGATAGCATCGTGGGGAATCACCTCTCTGAGCTCAGGGACAGTCGGAGGTGCAAACTGGCTGCATCGAATGGGACGTGACATAATGTCCCAGAGGTTTACCGTGCACTCGGTTCAGTTATCTATTATTTTTATGAACATGCTGGAGTCCTTAACTGATCAATTTGCAAGTCTGGGTAAAAAGTAGACTTGATCTCTGTGTTGATCCAGATGTTCTGCAGGTAAACCGTTTGAACTCAGTTTTGCAAACTAGATAAAGTTTCTCCATCACAGTGAAGCAGGATGATGTCATTGCGACAGAGTACTATACAGACATGTCTGAAGGCTTATTCTGTCCCACTGCAGGGAGTGATTTATATCGGCACGTCGGAGGGCGTCGTGAAGGTCCCGACAGCTAACTGTTCTTTTTACTGGACCTGTGCTCAGTGTGTTCTGGCCCGAGATCCCTTCTGTGGTTGGGATCCTGCCAGTAGGGTCTGTGTGATGGTCTCTACAACAAACACTAACCTGTGAGTAACACTACATTTTTATTATGATTAATACGTTCAGCACACACGATCTGCTCACATATTTTATTATGAAACACAAGGTTGCACAATGAAACTACATCAGCTGAGGAAGGAGTCGGTAATACCAAACTGTGCAAAGCTAGTCAACTTTTATTCTTGACCTTGTAGCTTTTGAGCCGGTAGCACAGCTTTGTTTAAATGAATCATTTACAGGCGCGACCACACATCTGGATACTCCAGGTGGGATTATACAACATCCATGTAGGAATTTCCTCCCTCTCGGTCAATGTTTAATGGTCTTGTTCTTATCTACTTGGCACCTTTCTATTCTCCCTGAGCACTCAAAGCGCTCCGTGCAACTTTTTCCTCTGTGAAAGTGTGTTGTAACATTCACACACATCATACTTGGGTTTGTACCTTGCCCAAGGATATTTGGCAGATTGAAGCAGCCAGGGATCAAACCACCAACCTTCCAATTAATAGATGACTGCTTTGTGAATTTCATGTTTTTACTTCTGGTTTGAGGATTGGTCATCAGTGGGGAATCTGTGAAACCTAGTGCCCACCTTCTCTGTTAATGGTTTCCCTCCTCAGAGCCCAGGACATAGAAAGAGGAAACGCTGAAGAGGCATGCAGCAGTGTTTCATTAAATCACAAGAGCAGATTTGGTCCAAACAAACTGCCTGCGGGTGAGTATAACATCTTTTTAATATCTATTTTAGTCTGAAGATTAAATGGAGGAGAAAAGTCTAAAAGGAATGAAATAAATCATGAAAAGTCACACGTCTGAGGTTTTGTGTGGGCTGTGAGTCAAACATATAAAACATGAATTTGCTTTATTTAACTTTTACTTTTCTAATTTAGACATGATTGTGTGAAGTTCAGATTTTTCCAATAGATTCTTGTTTAGAAGCACGGTCATTGTTCTTAGTTTCTGTGATATCCAAACACCTGTTTCTGATGCAAACTATAATCTGTATGTCAGCCTCGTGTCCTCCAGGCGAGCTGGTGTCTGTGTCTCTGAACGAAGTCGTGCGGCTGCAGTGTCCTGCTGCATCACGACTGTCTCAGCAGCTCTGGGAGCGTCCCAACAGTCGGCTGTCCTCAGACTTGTATCTGAACTTGGAGGATGGGAGTCTGAGCTTTGTGGCCACCCCTGCCACACTGGGCCACTACCTCTGCCTGTCCACTGAAAATGGCTACCAACAGACTATGGCCATCTATCATGTCAAGCAGAAGACCAGCCCTCTGTCTCAAACTCCAACCAGCTACACCCAGCCTCGGACAAATGCCATACCCACAACACAATCTATGGCCAAGCCGGGATCTGGACTCCACATATCTGTAGGAACAGAAACGCACCAAGGAGAGTCTAAGACAACGCCATCCAACAGGAACACTCAAGTCACCACCAGACAGCTGGGCAAAAACCTGACCTCATGGACAAAGCAGCCTCGACAGAGAGAATTAGAGCTCCGGGATGGGGAAGCGCTGCTGGCCGCCCAAGCCCCATGCTATTTAAAGGAGCTGGTAATTGTGTCACTTTTGCTAGTGCTGTCCCTCAGTTTGTTAATCACCATATTTCTGTTTGTCATCACACAGCGCTGCAACCACAGAACAGCCCCACAAGCAGCAACCATAGACTCTGACAGAAGGACCCCTGTAGAGCAGGAGGCCCGAAGGGCGAATGTGTTTCTGAGCAAAAGGAATGAACAAGGACAGCAAAGTGGACATGGCAGCGAGTTGGTTTGTAACGCTGCGCTTTCAGGTTCTAATGGACATTTGCCTAACACCCCCATCTAAACAGAGGTACAGTGTTACAGATGAAAAAAGTCACGTGGCACTCAAAGACTCCTGATCTATGGGAAGTCTTTGGCAACAGGAGGAAAAGGATTTAAAACTTTATTTGAAGGGCGAGGAAGTAACACAAACCATTTTAAAGTGGTTTTCATGGGATTTGACTTATTATTCTATACATGCAGTTTTAATGTCCTGGTGTACATTGAAATTACAGCTCAGTTTAGGTCACAAATAAGGTCCCATATGCAACTGAAAGTGGCTGCTGAGGGGGGCCATCCCAATCGGTAAGATCTGTGATCGTACTAATAAATCAAAGAACTGTGCGTGGGATCACTTTTCTCAACAGCCATTTACTGGCAGCATTTGTGAGTATTGTTGTGGTGGAATAAGAGGCGTGGGGAAATGAATGTCTCACAAATATAAAGCTTCAACCGTTACACCTAAGTGCCAGACCCTTCCTCGAACCCTCAAACAGGCCTTTGAAGGGTTGTGAAAAATGTCTTCCACAGTGTCATTGCTGTGATCTCAAATAGCCGGACAACAACACACAACAACACACAACAAGACTGTAAAATTACACAATTGCGCCTGTTCTGCACAGCTACATTTGGAACAGGCGCAATTGCTGTATAACCGTGTGTGTTGTAACTGCCCAGTCTTTTTCACAGCTCGAACTGGTGTATTGATGGAGATCAAACATTTGTCACACTTGGTACTGGACCCGCTGAGGTCCCAGTTCTGATAACTGACTTGTCTGTAACACTTTCACTGCTGATTGCCTGAAGCTGACATGCTTTTGTGTGGAAATAACTGGAATAAAGTTTGCACACGATTCTAAAAAGACGAATTTAGCAGCTGTTTCTGGCAGCCGTAGCTTTGGTGGTCAGTAATTGTGTTCTCCTAAACTGTAACATTTAGGTATTTGTAAGTAGTGGTGACAAAAACCTGGTTAAAATCTCTCTGAATAGGAGCACTGATCCAATGAAAAGCATAACTGTTGATTAGCTGTGACGTGTTGGTTCTGAATGTTCTGGTTGGTCGTCATATTATAGCTGGTTATGTTCTGACTATTCTGTTCTCTCTTGATAGCTTCATTTGGTAAAAGGTACAGTTCTGTCCAATGCAGCTGCTTCTTTAAATATTTTTATAGATTAGTCAAATGCAACACCAGTAACTGCCACAGTCGGCCAGTTGTACAGTTGTATGCACCTTTTAGAACAAGAAATCATTTGTTTCCATATATTACATTTTGATCAAAATGTGTAAGGATCAGAAAATGTATCCAAAGACGTGTGTGTGTGTGTGTGTGTGTGTGTACGCATGTGTGCGTGTTCACATAACTTTGTAGCACATGGTCAGGGTGAGTCAGCCAAGTTTCTTTTCTTGTGTGACAAAACAAAGTGAATGTGCCTTTGCTACATGTTATGTGACGATCCTGTGGAGCTGTTTGTACTTCTCACCATTTGGACATGTCAATAAAAAAATCATCCACAACTGTAATAAAGACTCAACATATTTATATTCACTTCAATAAACAGTTTCTGAAATGTTATAAAATATATAAAAAACCATCACATTTTGTTTTATGTCTTCTCAATTTTTTAACGACTTGGAAATCCGTCTGCTCTGCCATCGTTCAAGTCCTCTCAGGACGCTTTTGTACAGCACTCAATGAACTTCTGTTAAAACCTAAGTAAACTACGCAATTCACTAATAAAACCACCTTTCGCAGCATTAACTTGAACTTGAAGTCTTTCACGTTGCTGTGGAGGAATTTTGTCCCACTGCTTTACAGGGTTCCTTCGGTTCATTCATCCATAGTGTCTTTAAGGTCCTGCCACAGCATGTCATTCAGATTGGTTTGCTTGTATATTTACTTTTGTGCTTGGGATCATTGTCCTGCTGCGTGATCCAATTTAGGCAAAGCTTTAGCTTCTCAGAAAGATGGACTCACATTTGGTTTAGAATGCTTTAGTATATAGAGAAGGTGCCCAGGTCCTTTGGCAGCCCTCCACCATCATGTGTGACACTTGGTGAGAGATGTTTGTGCTGAAATGCTGTTTGGTTCTCACCACACGTGATGCTGTACATTAATGATAAACATCTCCACTTAGTTCTTTGGACAAACAGGAAGTAAACTGGTTTGTTTAGATCCAACTTTTCAAACCTAAGCTGTGCTGGCATATTCTTGGTTTGGTCACGTTTTCTTCAACAAACTTTGAGTTTCTCTCCCGACTGTTTCCATCCTGCTGTGTCTGAGCCAACTGACTGACATGTTTCATTTCCACGTTCATAAAGCTGCTATTGAACCTCACAGCAGAAGGAATTGGTTTATTTTTATTAACACTTTATTACCAATTTAAGATTATTGTAGCACCGTTTTTCTCTCGATGCCCAATGGTTTGTCAGAATTGCTCTGAAGCAGATGGGAAGTCTTTTTCGACGGCCTCTCCAAACTCACATGCTGGAATTCTTGTTTCAACCACCACCTGGGCTGCATTTCGCTTGGCCTGCTGATACGTGTCAGCTGCTTCTGAGAGGCTACCCCTCTGCCAGGGGGTTCCCAGCACACCCCATGTTTAGGTGTGCTAAGCCTGTCCTGCATCCTCCCCTGCCGTGTCCCCCCTTCCTTACCAAAGAGGTGATGTTGTATGTCTCAATAGCAGGGATTGGTCCATCAGTGCTCTTCCTTTAACCGCAATCAGACACACGATGCACCCAACCCTAACACCACCTCCTGCTGGTGGTGGGCCTACAGTGACCATGCAGCTTCTGCAGGCTGCACCTGGCCAGGCCCCATGGGCTAAAGCCAGAGGGCCAGGCACTCTCCATTGCACTCCCTCCCCAGGCCTGGCTCCAGGTAGGACCCCGGTAACCCTTTCCCAAGCAGGGACACAGGTAAGTAAGTAAAGTGTATTTACATACACCGACCTGAAGACAGAAAAGCTCATGAAGTTTTGTTACTCGGGGGAGTCCATTGAATCACTCATTGTCTGCCCCATCACCCAGGACCTATTTGTCTTGGGAGACCCTCGTCAACATAGCCTCTGAGATCACGGGGCACATAAACCCTTCTACCTAAATAAGTTAGCAATTCCCGAAGGAAAAAGTGGCGTTTTACTCACATGGGGTATAGTGGGGGTGGGGTACTGCTGACATCAACTGGGGACATTGTTGGGCAGTGGAAGAAGTATTTTGAGGACCTCTTCACCACTAACACGTCTTCTGTAGAGGAGAAACAGTCTGAGGATGAGGAGAACAACTTGCTCATCTGTAGGGACGAGGTCACTAAGGCTGTTAATCTTCCTCTTGTGTTCCCCTTGTTGCATAGATCATGGTAATAGTCCTGGCACTAAACAGTGTATACTATATTTCTCTGAGTGTGCTGGGGACCCCGTGCTTGGGGTGGACCAGTTTGGTTGTTTGAAAGCCACAGATGCGTCTCAGCTGTTCTGATTCTCCTGACATATATAAGGCATCACTACGGGTTTTCTCTTAGGCAGCGGTTGTCCTTCTCTCCTGGATCGGCTGGAGCTTTCAGTCCAGCTGGGATAACCACATTTACTCAGGGCCTTCTTGATGTTCTTCTGCCTCCCTGGCTGCTGTGTCTGTGGGGATGATGTTCGCTCTGTGTTGTAGCGTCCTGATGACACCCAGTTTGTGCTCCAATGGATGGCAACCTGATCCGTATGCACTGGTTTACGGTACACGTCGACTTTAAATGTCCCCCATTGCTGACGGGAATTTCACAGGCTATCCTCCATGGTGAACTTGATGTGTTTGTCCACTGAGATAATGTGATCAGGGGATTTCGGTACATCCTGAGATTTGATTAAAATGTCTTAAGGAGTGGAAAAGTTATTTTGAATTTAATGGCAGGAATATGCCAGACAGAGCCATGTTTACCAACGTAAGCACTTTGGTGTACCTTCGGTTTTAAATGTGCTATATAAGTAAAGTTGTATTGTAACGTGTGTCATCTTCTCTTCTTCAGCAGCTTATAAACATCTGGAAACTGAAGAGCCCAGTTGCTGGACTTTGTTGTAGAATGTGAGAACTTGTAGAATAAAACTTGAGAATGTGTCGTTTTTAATTTACAGTTACAGAAAAAAGTATGAAAGTACTGAGGAAGACTCTTTGAAGGAAACTTACCATGGCTCCCTGTGGTTGTCAGTCCAGCATGACCTCTTGGTCTTCTGCCTTCTGATTGGCTGACCTCCACTTCTCCAGTTCCTTGAACGTCCCCATTGTTCTGAGTACTGGACAGTCAGAGTGCTGTCACACGAGTAATTCTTATGTTGGCAAAGAGAAAGTACCACTTATAAGCAATTCCGATCATTAACGAGAAGTTAATGGCCTTGTAAAGTTAAAAGGCACTGTAGACCCTTCAGCACGACCCTTTAAAAAAAGTGAGTGTATATATACATGTTTGAGTTTGTATGCATAATTTGGACCCTGTTCGAATTAAAGAAAGTCTAAAATCAATTCAAACTTGTGCACACATTTCCTGTTTTTTAATGTCATTAATAATGTATGCTGTACAATCTTTCCACCCTGGAAAAAAAAAACACAAGAAACAAAGAAATCACTAAGTAGATTTTTTTTGTTTGAAGTTTTAAATCAGCAAACAAATTTTACTATCAGACAAAACAAATTTCCCAAGTGTGGGACTAATAAAGGTTATCTTATCTTATCTTATAACCCAGGTAAGTACAAAAGGCAGTTTTAAAATTTCATTTATTTCATTTATTAACGGGAAAAGCTGCACGTGCCTTGGTATAAAAAAGTGATTGACCCCTGAACTTAATAACTGGTTGAGCCACTGTTGGCAGTCACAGCAGCACAGGAACAGAGCAGGAGGGAGGAGACAGCCAGGAGCACCAGCAAGAGACAGCATCGACACTTTAGAAAGGTACAGTAAAGAAAATAAGTGACACCAAGAAAAGAAGTAAAATCTTTAACCATTTCAATTATATTAACAATACAAAGGCAGAGTGTAGAGTCTGCAAGAAAAGGATATCATACAGAGCCAGCTCCACATACAGCCTGCACAGCAGCCTGAGAACTGTCCACCCATCAGTGCAATGGGAAGATAAAACACAGTTGAGTGGGTTATTAATGAAGGTGCCAGTGTGTCTACTGCAACTGCTGCTGCTTCACCTACAGCATCATGCAGTACACCACCACAAGCGCCTAAACAACCCAGAGCTCTATGAGACGGTTTTTGCAGAAGTCTGTGACCCAGCAAGACAGAACTCAAGTCATGAAGAGTTGGCAAAAATGACTGCACTTAATTTCCAACCATTTTCAGTTGTGGATGATAAAGTTTTCAGGAAGTTTATTCATGCACTAAATCTTATTTTATATTGTTGTTGATAATAAATTAATTAAAGCAACAAAACAACCTGAAGTGCCGCTTGGGAGCCGAAAGAGCCGGCTCTTTTTAGTGAGTCGAGCCGAAAGAGTATGTTCTCTAAAAAGAGCCGGAAATCCCATCACTGCATCACAAAATATTTTTCTCAGAATTGTTTGGGATGTTTTTTGGTAAATCTCAGATGAGCTGTGTGTTCTTTCCGGTTCTTGCTTCAGTAATAACATCCGAAACAAAATAATAACCGGTTATATCTACTGTTACTTTTGTTGCTAACTTTAATATCTTACATCTGCCACTGACGTTACTCTGGCAAAATCTCGTAGATGGCGACATTAAGTCTTTAACACTTCAGCACAACTTCAAATTTGTTTTTACGACCGAGCGCAGACGTCAAGAACGGAAAGACGGTTCTTGAAGGTTCGCTGGTGTTCATATTAAAGGTGCAGTAACGGGACAGCCTGCTAACGGTTCCTCTGCCTGCATTCGTGCATGTGAAACGCATGACACAGCATCAGTCTCCTGCAGGGGCAAGATACACCCGAACACACCCCGCTGCAGTCTGCAGAGCATCCGCACTCACGGCAGGCTTGGTGCTTTCCTAAAGCTGCTCAGTATCTTCTGGAAAAACGCGACACAGCTCAGGTAAGATCGTTCACTGCAGTCATCGGTGTTTGGTTGTGGACACTGCGGGTTTTTTATTTTTCTCATTTTGTTTGTTTGTTCTTCCCTTTTCTTTTTTCTTCGTCTTCATAAATATATAGATATATGTACATCAGTGTGAGTTAAACACTGTGATGTGTGGGAATGTCCAAAAACTAGGCAGTGTGATGTTATTCTCATGTTGTGGTGCAGCGGTGCCAGATCTGACTGCGGTCCTGCGCAGCTCTGCTTTATTTTTAACTGCAGAAACATCATCATCAGCGTCTCTGTAGGCTACACATGCATTCATACATTCTAGCTCATTCATACAATAATTTAAAGGCTCGATCTGGAAAATGAGTCAGCACATGAATCATTATGATAATCGCAGATTTGCAGTCTGCCAGTAGCTGCATCGCTCCTTTGCTGATCCATCAGTGTTATTACTGCTAAAAGTCGAGCCTGTGACCTTGACAGAGACAGTCTGGAGACATTTTAGTTTTATACAGGGGACAGGTTCACTGATCTTATAGTGGAAACAGTAAAGACTTGATGATTTCTTGATGTACCCTAAATTTACTAATACAGTAATCAGAGAGTTTCAGTTTTGCAGTACTTTGCAGGACCTGCATGTGTCCGTGAGCAGCCTGTAGGTGGATGCACAACACCTCCAACTAGCAGACATGAGGTCAGGATACAAGGCAAACAAAAAGAACATGGAGTCCACAGTGACAGAGGCGAGAACATCTCAGTGCAGCAGCCCGTCCAAGTGCACTGATCCCAACACGGGACAGCATGCACCTGCAGCTGGATCCCAACACGGGACAGCATGCACCTGCAGCTGGATCCTAACACGGGACAGCATGCACCTGCAGCTGGATCCTAACACGGGACAGCATGCACCTGCAGCTGGATCCTAACACGGGACAGCATGCACCTGCAGCTGGATCCTAACACGGGACAGCATGCACCTGCAGCTGGATCCTAACACGGGACAGCATGCACCTGCAGCTGTATCCCAACACGGGACAGCATGCACCTGCAGCTGGATCCCAACACGGGACAGCATGCACCTGCAGCTGTAGCAGCAGTTTAAAAAGTAGCACCACGTGCTGAATGGACACAGTCCTGCTGTTTAAATATGATCAATTTTTCTTTTGCGTCTCTTTACTTTGACTCAGTCTGTTCTACCTGCTGTTCTGGGCTGTATATTGAAAGCTGTTGTTTCCCCGTCAGCAGCAGGATGGCTCATGAAGAAAAGAATCCGCTGCCTCCAGCAGGGACGCTCTCTGAGGGACAGCGACAGTCCCTCTTTAAGATGGAGCCCAAGACTCTAGGGGTAAAGAAAACCATTCAAAGTCTGTGACGTGTACATAGGAACAGATGTCTGTTTATACATAACACTTGGGTATTTTCAAAGCAATATTTGGGACATATTCAGTGCATTTTTCCTCATTCAGAAGTTTCAAATGTATTGCATGATGTGCTGATGACTTTTTCTGGCGACTCTTCTCAGGCCATCCAGATTGTTATCGGGATTTTGATCCTTTGTCTGAGCGCGTCTGTGCTCCAGGTTCACGAAGTCCACTTTACCGGAGATGTGGCTCTTTTCCTCATCGTTGTCGTACAGGTCAGTGTGGCGAAAGCTCCAGCAGCTACTTTTAGATTTGGTCAGGTCACGTCATCATGTTATACTCATCAGCTGCGTCTGACTTCACTGTAATGCACCAGGTGACTGTGTCTGGGTCAGTGCTGGTCCACAGTGGGAGGAGACCTACTCTTTTCTGGGTGAGTCTGTGCCATGCATGAAAATGCATTTCTGCATTCAAAGTCAGCAAAAGCAGCTGTTCAGGGTTCCTTGTATGTAACTATATTTGCATTGCATAAATTCTTTTCTGATCTGCTTTTTAAATTTCTAATTGATTTATTATCCTTAAATCTATTTCTAATCGGTGTATTTTTGCCATTTATTTATGTGCTGATTTGGGGGAACTTATGATATCAAGCTGAAGAATCTGTAGATATGTAGTACTTTACAAACAAACCACTTCTCTTGGGTTTGTTTGTGAACCAGCAGAACAAAAGGCAGTGGTTCTGTTTGTATGGATGAGGACAAGATGCATCCATAATGAGAAAAATCATTTCAACCAGTTACCAGCAGTGTAGACTTTCAGCTTTAATCCAGGTTTTATGTCGGGTGTTTAAGAATTACAATAGCACAGGTCTACAACCAAAGAGCTGCGTAGGACTTTCTGACTGTTTCATGTAGATTGAAACCAGGAAAAATAATTTCAAAATTCCATCTCATCAGGTTTTCTTGCAAAACTCGTGTTTTTAGTTTAATAAACAATTTCCCTTTTTAAACTGATTAAAAAAACACATCCAAAAATGATTTCTTCTAATAATTTCATATTTCTAAGAGCGAGACTCACGAGAAATGCAAGTGGAAAATGTGAGGAGGGAACCAGAGGATGGAAAGCAAAAGTGTGAAGTTTCTCAGACAAAAAGAGTAAATATGTAGCGATAAATATATCATGAAGGAAAAGTTTTTTTTCTTTGTTCAATTGTAAGAAAAATTATTCATAGTTGTAATAAAATATTGATTTTTTTCATCACTGTTGTGCTTTTTTCATGTAAACTCCTCACGCTTTGCCAAAAAAGCTGTACATGGTGGAGGGAAGTGAAGGTCATTTTTGGATTCAGCTCCCTGAAAAACATCACCAAAAATATCCCAGCAGAAAAAACAGGTTTTTGCAGACCTGTGTCCCTGATCTTTACACTGTCAGAAACAATTGAACTGTTGACTGAAAGTTGACTCTTCTCTGCTTTAACTTTGTGGATGAGAAGAGAACAAAGTGTTCACCTGCTATGTAGGCACGTTTTAACTGCATCTTCAAGATACGAAGGATTGTAAGATAAGTGTTTTCATCTAAAAGACGAACGAAGGAGAATAAGCGACCGGCATCTGGATAAAACTCCTCACGTCAAACTGAAGTCAGGGCTCATGAAAACGTGCATGAACATGTTATCAGTGTTGTTAAGGAGGACACTTTAAAAGTGGAGTGTACGTCCCATTTGGACAGTCACATTCAGAAGTGATTCAACTTGACGTAGCATAGTAACACATTAGCCTTACAGGTTGTGCGTGGTTTGTGTCTGAATAATACGATTGTTGCTTGCAGGTGAAATGTGTCCTGGTGCTTCATCTCATCAGTGCTGCGTTTGCCACCGCTGCCCTGGGTCTAATGTCCAAGCACCTCCCCTACCGCCAGGACTCTTACCACTGTGAACACTGCCGTAAACTGGAGCTACATGCTGTGGTATTGTCTTTAAATAACAACAGAGAGAAGCTAGTAACACATAAACATTGATTTATTGAGTGTTCATATTTTAAGGCCGAATATTAACTGTCTTTGATGACAATGTGTGACACTCTCTGGCTCTGCAGCACACAGTGTTACACTTTGGTTAGGAGCAGCATCTGCAGGACATCTAACATAATATCATTCAGATGTACTTGCAGTTTGTCAAATAGAAACTGCCTAAAAAACATCACCAGCAAAGGTTTGGGGCTAAGATGCTGGGATTTGACGTTTTTGGGATAAATTTGTCTTGCCTGGTGCAAGACTGAAACAATGTTTGCAGGACATGCTGTAAAGATATTTATCAAAGAAAGTCCAGCTAGAAAAAAGATACAGTAAGTACGTTTACAGTCATGTCAGCAGCCGTTATCCTGGCAGTTCCTCTTTTTGTCATTTTAAGTGTTTTTCATGTGACGTCTTGAGCATTGATTGAGAACAGCCTGCTAGAGCAACTGCTTTTGTTGGGATATCCGGTGGTTGCCAGAGGGTCACTGACCAGTCTGTGGGCCTGGATGACTGGGGCTTCATAGTGCTGTGGGGGGGCTCCCAAAATTTCAAGATACTCCTGCTGGTGGTAGAACAAAACACAACACTGAGCCTTCTTTTTCCAAGCTGTTAAGACAACCCTGACCTGAAAAGCTGCACAGACATGCACTGTAATGCCAAACGTAATGAACTGAATCCAGATGTTCCACAGCTGTAGACAGTTAAACAGCTATGCATGCAGACTGCTTCTACAGACATTGTGATAGGATGCCACCTGTGTAAGACGTCCACTCATGAAATTTCCTCATTGTCAACTATTTATTGTATTATAACAAAGTGGAAGCGATTGGGAAGCGACTTTTTGGAGAGTCAGCTGCTGCAGACCTCCAAACTTCATGTAGTTTCAGATTAGCTCGCGAAGAGTGCGTAGAGAGCTTCATGGAACAGGTTTCCACGGCCAAGCAGCCGCATCCCCCCTTACAACCCAAAGAGCAACGCAAAGCATGCGATGCAGTGGTGCAAGAGCGGAGACTGCAAGCCAGGCCAGACCTCACAAACCTGCTTCAGTAGAAATGGTCAAAAATTCAAACTTCACTTGAACTAGATTCGGCTGTCAAGTAGGCTACAGTAGATTTAAGCTAGTGACAGAGCTTGATTGGCTGATGGTAACTTGATTAACTTTAATCCCTTTTCTTAAGTATTCTTATTCATCTCTAGGCATGAAAAGATGAATAAGAATACTTCAGAAAAATCTTGACTGAGGTTGTCATAATTCATGCATGACAGGGTTAAATAACAACAATTACAATGAAACGCGTCGCACATCTATAGTCACATTAAACGAGCAGCGGGTGGCAGGGTGTGGAGTGACACACCAGTGTCCAATGTAGTGGTTAATGTGCAAGTACACCATCAACACTGACACAAACACAGGGAAACAGCCTTTGAACAGCTGTAACTGTAGTGACCACGGTGAAAGGGTTAAAACAATTTTGAATGCACAGTCGCCAAATTCAATGTGCATTCCTGTAAAAATAATGAAGCAGGAGGTGGGTGCAGGTGGATGTTAATGTTCAAAAAAGGGATTCATGACAGTGACTGATTTTCTTATGTTGTTAAGTTTAATATGTCCTATATTAAACTACAGCAGCAGCTCATCACACATTCCTGTGCATGAATCTTCTGCCCGTTGTATTTTGTGTTTAAAGTGCTACATGTACCCTTTCAGTACATGTGTTAGAGACCTTCGACCTTAGAAATCTTTCATCATACTATTAGCAACCATTTTCCCAGCGACTGCCATCGATCTCTAGCATCCACTTGCCACATTTGATCCTGCATCGTCACCATAATTGTCATCCAAAATGGCACGTGAGTTAATAATAATAATGGATTTATATAGCGCTTTTCAAGGCACCCAAAGCGCTTTACAATACCACTATTCATTCACTCTCACATGGTGGAGGCAGCTACAGTTGTAGCCACAGCTGCCCTGGGGCAGACTGACAGAAGCGAGGCTGCCATATCGCGCCATCGGCCCCTCTGGCCAACACCAGTAGGCAAGTGGGGTAAAGTGTCTTGCCCAAGGACCAGGACAGAGAGCCCAGGGATCGAACCGGCGACCTTCCGGTTACAGATATGCTTCCCAACCCCCTGAGCCACGGTCGCCCGGTTAGTGCAAAACCTCAATAAATGCATGTGAAATAAGGCCAGCTGCCAAAACAAATCTATGTTTAGGGGTTAAGGTGTGCTGGAATGATCCAGAATGTTGTTCTGGGACCTTCACTTGATGACCAATTAAATCTGAAAGGCACATTAATATATATCACTGTCAGAGGACTTAGTATTTGGCAGCTCAGTAATAATAACATAAAGACATTCGCTCGCTTCCACCATCAACACATCCTCTTGTTCTTCACCTCCCTGTCACGTGTTCACAGTAAATGAACTGCGCTTTATTCAAAGCGTACAATGCAACAATCACTGTTTCTATGCTTTGTGTCTTTGCTATCTACTATTCATACTCTGATGATGCATCGGAGAGCAACGTGGGGCTGATATCTTGCCCAAGATTGGCATTCAGACTAGGAGGAGCCAGGGACTGAACCACGACCTTGCGATCAGTAGATGACCGGCGCTTCCTCCTGAGCTACAGCCACCACTTTATATCTGCTCCCAGCCACAGCGCAGATATAAAGTCGTGATCTGCACTTTCTAGTGTTAGATTTATCCAGCAGCAGGCGTAAACAATGCTGTTTGTTGTTTAAGTGGGAGGTCATCATCAACACACAGTGTAGTTAGGTTGTTGCAGTATGTCTGCTAACCAAATGTACAGTTGTTTATTTCCTGGGCATAGAAAGAAAACGTTGTTAATGTTGACAGAAGGTGAAAGACGTCAGGAGAGATTAACAGGAAACTTAAGGACCGATCAGAAAGTGACATTTGACACTTACTGTCCTAATTCATTTGAAAGTTCTTGCATCAGATCATGATGTGCTGCTGGGGTTATGATTGTGCAAAACAAAATGAAATGTGCTAATTTTGTGCTATGCAAACTTTGCATGGAAACATGGTCGCACCACTGCAAGTTTGCTGCAGGATAAACTGCTCAGTTTGCAGGATTGTGGTGACGTTCACACCAATGTACACGACAGTAGCCAACATCAATTTATATTTAAGGTTGATGCTGATTAGATTCACTCACTGAATTCGACCTTTTCTACTAACTTTATAGTGTCCGGAAAATCAGCCACACAGCTCATGAAACATCTGCTTATATCTTGTTGAATTCAGTTGCACAAAAAGTAGTGACTATCAGGTGATCGCAGCCTCTACATCTGATCTTCCCTTTAAGCCCTGCCTGTTTCTGTGCTGTGCATCTTAAAGCTGATACTGCACCTCTTTGTTAAATATCAACAGTGGCTCTTTGATGCCAGAGAGGATGTTGGGGTGGTGCTGGTGGTATCAGAAACACAATACAACAGGGAAATGCAGCGTATGTTAAGTTGTTGATTAACAAGAACTGGACTCACGTCTTGTAAACAACATTTCTCTCTTTCTGAGAAACAGACAGTACAGAAACATCACACATATACATGTTGCAGAGTCACGTCACAAAATCAGCTGCACCACGACGTTGCTGAGTTGTGAACGGCAAAGAGGGTGGCCAAGTTAAAAGATACAGTCTGTGAATGTGGTTCCAATGTTTTGAATGTGTTGTAGAAAACAGGGAGTGCAACTTTTTTACACGGTCGATTTTTGACCACATAAAACTGTCACATGGCCACGTACACGGATGATGCATGTAATGCAGCATGCACAGAGCTGTCAGCAGGGTATAAATGTAGTTTTCCTTTAATAGAATCACATAACTTCATAGTTGACCCTGCACATTTTTAAAAAGGAGACTATGTTTCTTTGTCTTTACTGTCCACTGCAGCAACATTGTTTCAGGAAATGCACCGGGCTGATCGAGCAAAAGTGTAAAGTAAGTGACAGACTGTTGTTATAACTAATATTTTGGAAGTCGTGTCTTTGAAGTGTGCATGTAGAAGATAGACATATATTTGGGTCAGACAAAAGATTTGTTGTTTTTGTGAGAACAATCACTGTCACTGAAACAAACATGGTTTTCTGATCATATATGTTCACACACGTCTCTCTCATGTTTCTCTAGCTATTGATTGATGGGATTCTGGGAACACTGGTTATATTCCTGGTGCTTGAGCTGCTAATCTGCATCACTGCCATGCTGTTTGGACTCAGCGTCCTAGCTGCTGGTGGCAGCCAGGTAAGCCTTGATACCTTAAAGCAGGAGTGGGGACCTCCAGGCTTCAAGGCTTTAGATGTGTCCTCGATCCATCACAGCTGGTTTAAACGACTAAATCACCTCCTCAACATGTCCTGAAGTTCTCCAGAGGCCTGCTAATGAACTAATCCTTTGATTCAGGTGTTTTGACCCAGGGTGAGATCTAAACCTGCAGGACACCGGCCCCCGAGGCCCGGAGGTCCCCACCCCTGCATTAAAACCTAACTGAACAAGAATGCACCCACTAAAAAGTTACAGAGCTGATAAATATGCATTCATGTTAGAGCATTTGCCTTTAGTTCGATAACTCACCTGGTTTTCTCCTTAAATCTGTGAATAAATTTAGCATCATGTCATTGTTGTGGTTTGACTCTGATGAAATGAAGACTCGTGCATGCCACAGCATCACAACAGAGATGTATGCGTGTGCTGCAGCAGGTGAAACCGCAGAGAAATCTTTGTGGTAACATCTGGTTGACTTTAGAAACAGGATGAAACATCAGATTCCACGGAGCTGTTTAAAGTTGGCCTGTTCAAAGAGCAACATGTCAAATCTACGTAAATGTGTGAATGTGTCGCACAGACTCCCAGTGAGGGACCCGTCTATCCGCAAACTCGCCCCCCACCTGTCCCAGCTGTGGAGACTGTTCAGGCCGTTCAGTCTGCTCGAGCTGCTGCTGAGCCAACTCAGGTAACACAACACCTGCGTGTAATACAAGGTGGCACCTGTGACTGAATGATCCTGCTTCTGGTGAGAGCATTAAGAATGACTTCCAGATTTCGATGCATAATCGGTGTGTGAGTGTATGCTTGAATGTAATCTGTGCATAGGTTAAAGGTGCTGTATCAACTTGCATGTGCATATATATATATATACTTATATATGCACATGCATGAAACACACTTTGAGTGCTCAGAGTAGAAAAGTGTGATTTGTTTACAGCCTGCTGTCGGTGCCTTTACTGATCTGGAATAAGAATCTGATTTATGATCGTCACATCAGATTTGAACCCCGAGGGTTTTCACCTCGTGCCCTTTAACCCTCTACTATTACCTACAGTATGCTGATACATACACTGACACCGGACTGCTCTCTTCGTGTCAGCAGGTGGCTGTAGTTGTGACAGAACCTGACTCAGAGCAGGTAGAGGACATCTCCACCCCACCCACTGAGCCCCAGGTGGAGCCAATAGAAACCGCAGAACCCTGAGCTCAGCGCACAGAGCTCACAGTGGTGTCATGTCAGTCACAAGAGACGGCTGAGTGTCAGCAGGGAAGCATATTCTGTATGTTATGTTGGAAAATAAATGTGAATGTTTAACAAGTTTCTGGCATGTTGTGATCACAGCATCAGTGTTAGTGCTGCTGTCCCTACAGTAAACTATGATGGAACAGTTTTATTACGAACGTTGACATGGTAGCACTTTATAATAATGTCACACTATTAAGCCTTATTAAGGTATTAACAAGTGGTTCATTCATCATTTACACAGCATTACTGCGCCGTAGTATGCCATTTATACTTCTGTCAATATCAAAACTTTACATGACTTAGTAAATGAATGAAGTTGTGAAATATAAAGAACAGAATTGGTCAACATTATAAAAGCAGCGGCTTTAGCCCCCTCTGTCACACTGTTCGCCTGCCCCAGCACTCCTGCTTGTAACTCAGGGTTTCTCTCATCAGCTGCTGGCGTGTAAGCCTCTGACTTACTTGTGCACTGAAATGTTCTCCAATGAGAACTCAAAGAGAGAAATATCTCCAAAAATATAACAGTCTCATAATTGTTCATTGTTTTTGGCAAATTAGGGAATAAGATGAGGTTTTCATAAAACCCGAGCAGTTGAACTCGTTAAATGCACAGAACAGATACGTGTATCTCCACAGTTAGCTTAGCAGATCAAATCTACCTGACACTGCTTTCATGTGTGGCTTCTTAGTCCTCTGTTCAAAACACTATAATATAGAATTAACTGTAAATGAATGTATGAAAGTTTTAATCTCACTGAAAATAAAATTACTGCTGCACAGATAAATCGCTCTCACCAGTCACTAAAGATTAGCTTGAAATGTTGAATTGTTACTAATATTTTTGTTTCGCGGGGTTGTTCTGTCGAGTCTGCAGGTTGTATATTAATGCAATATTAACCACAGCTTTGTCTTTTTTTCTATGTAATTTTGAGATCATTGTAAATCTTTCTCAGCATGCACACATAAGGCCACGATTCTGCTAAATAAAGTCAAGCTTTGTTTTATCTTTGTGTGATTATGTGTAATTAAATTCATGTTTGTGTGGAGAGCTGAATGTTGCTTATGGTGAAAAACAAGCTAGACAGTGAAAAAAGTTCAAATTAGCTCATGTAGTTTATGAGACTAGTGTCCATCATACTCTTGTGACATAATGTAACAACAATCTGGCCAACATTAAATTTATTGCATTAATATGTGGAATATAATTAAAAAATTAACTAAAAAGTGACATTTAACTCAGCACTTCAGTAAAGATTCAAGTAATAATTCAGTAATAATTTAGCAGTATTACACAGAATAATCTGTGAACGGGGCCACATTAGTACAGCATAAGCTTCTTTGTTACTTTATCCGCACAAATATGGAAAAAAAAAGTTTGCTATACCAAATATTATTTTATCTTCTCCACCACTACCTGCATTCAAACATTGTACCGGTCTGTGGTTTCGGTGCTGAGATAGCCGTGTATTTTATTTGAAACATGTCTGCCAACCTGAAATGATTACAGCTCCGTCCTGGCCCCTCACTGACACCTTCCTGGCTCCGCCACTCTTCAAACATTAGCATGAATTCTGTCTTACCTTTGCTGTCTCGCTTCCAAAACGTAATTAAACGCAATTAAATCGCACTAACTGAATAACTCCATTTCCCACAATGCCTCAGAGCAGAGACGTTTCACTTGAGCAGCATCAGTCTTTGCACAGGTTCAAAGGTGTGAGATGCTATAAAATACAAAACACATTTAGGCATTTTTCTGTGTTGAGTTATTTTGGCACGATAGCATCAACTGTAATATTTGCACCTCTGATGAAGTCTCACAGGTGTTAGCTTCATTTTGATTAGATTACTGCTTACACAGAGTTTGTAATTCATACTCCATCTCACCTTTTCATGTAATAACTTTACATATGAAAGTAATATTTGATATGTCACTTTAGAAAGCTGCAAGCATGAGCAATTTCTGCATAAATTACAGAAAGACATAAATTATTAATAAAAAAATCATATGACTAAGTCACAACAGATTTTCAAAGGCTAAAAGGAACAAATATTTGAACATCTTCAGTTCCATGACAACTGCACAGCTCACTAAGGAACATGAGATGGTAAATGGACTGGTTATTATTTAGCACTTTCAACTCTGAGCTATCAAAGTGCTTTTAATTTGCCTCATTCACACCAACTCATACGTGTACATTTTTCTATATGGATACATAAGTGCTGTTTATATAACATTCACACACATTCATACTCCAGTGGATGTGTCAGAGAACGTGGGGTTAGTGTTTTGCCCAAAGATATTTGACATGTAGACTGGAGTCACAACTGGCTGGAAGATACTGGCTTCAACTGATATACATGGAATATATTCTCATGGAGGTCGGCAATTTGGGGCACACAGCCACAGAGTTAATGATTTCTTCAATGAAAAGCGGTCCCGAGTAATGTGGGTCCAGTTTCTTTGACATGCATTTGAGAGGACTGTCCTTGGAGGACCCAGACTTCCTTGCCTTCCACATACTGTTGGGCTAGGGACCTCATCCAGTCAATGAACTGGTGGTTTTATTCTGCTGTGCGCTGGAGGAAAGCATAAGATTCCCCGGCAGTGGTGTAGGTGATGGTGCACTTGTTGGGTTGCAAATTTTGAAGCCAACATGAAAACCTTATCCAGCCAATGATGTGCAGATCCTGCGTTTTAGATCCCATTAAAATCAAAAAAGATCCTCTAGAAAAGATTATTCTGGAAACAGTTTATTAAACAGAGTCATATGAACAGCAAAACAGTACATGACATTACACAGAACAGCAAGACAACAGATCACAAAGCAAGCAAAGCAAACCTCAGGGTGTAGAGGCTGTAAGCATATTGGACGCTCCTTCATAAGGAGTCAAACCTCTAAACATCTAAAGCCTGCAGGACACCGGCCCTCGAGGCCTGGAGTTCGACACCTGTGGTCTACATTGTTAGAATCCCAGCCGCAGTGTGATTCTAAAGATGTCCTGTGGAGGGCAGTGTTGAGCTTAGTGTGCCGCCCATTTAACAGAAGAAGCCGACGACTAACAGGCAGCAGCGAGGAGCCGGTCCACAGAGGGACGTTCAACAATTCTCTGAGATTTTCCACGTACAATAATCAAAACGTCGTACGCAATGAGGTATCCGAGTGTAGCGCGTTGGCCAATGTGTTTTAAGTCGAGTACTATCAAGTCTTTGAGTTCTTACCTCGTACCTGTGCTACAAGCTAGCTCTGAGTGCCTGACACAGCCAGTTAGTGGCTTCGTCATTTAAAGCCAGTGGCGTGTATTGTCTGAAAGCTCGCTGTTTCCTTTTTTCTTTCAATGAATTCAAAAGTCCGAGGAGTGTTGCAGGAGCTCTCTCGGTGTAGGGAAGGCTACAGTAGTGCACATATGTTAGCATCTGTGGCTAATAGCTACCCTGCTGGGACGCTCAGTGAAGCAGCGCTGATGTGGTGCATTAGTCTCTCTACATTAAGTCATTACATCACAGCATCGTTACATGTTGGCTCGTGCACGCGCTAACGTCAGCTGTGTTGTGTTTGTGTCCAGAGGAGACCGCGGCAGAGGCCGAGGCGGCCGCTTCGGGGCCCGCGGGGGACTGGTCCAGGGGTGAGTTCTCTGCAGTCCCGCATGCTGCTGCTCCAACAGCACCATCATCACACACGCTGTACGGTGCTCCTGTCCCTCTGCTTATTGCACTACACAGACCAATGTGTCAGAATGTAAATGCTGAAATCTCTACGCTTCATTTTTCTGTTCCTGTTCTCAGACAACAGAACTATGAAATCTTGAATGTTGTGCTTTAACTGCCAACCCCGGGAACTGGAATGAAAACCGCTAACACTGCTGTGTAGCCAGAGATACAGACCCTGCAGCTGCAATGCTGTTGAACCAAACGTTAACTAAACGTTATTTTTGTTTAGGTACCGGCCATTTGTCCCACACATCCCATTCGACTTTTATGTGGTAAGTATGTGTGGTGGTGGGAATTAGACACTTCAGCAAATTACAAAGCAGCAAGACGTCAGCCAGCAGTCAGTGTATAATAATAGTATAGAGTGGTTCTAAAGGCAAGTACTCAAGCAGACTGTTGTTTGTCACAAGTGTGAGATGGCCTTCCCCAGAGTGAAGCCTGCACCTGATGAGACGGCTTTCAGTGAGTGTCTGCTGAAAAGGAACCAGGACCTGAGCCCCACCCCTGCGGAGCAGGTCAGTCCGTGAGCCTGCACTCACCCAGTAGCTGTGCACCTGACCTGCTGTTTAAGTTCACTTACACAAACCTTGTTCGTTGTCTGTCAGTCTTCCATCCTGTCCCTGGTCACAAAGATCAACAATGTGATCGACAACCTGATTGTTGCACCTGGCAACTTTGAAGTGGTGAGTCGAACATGAGCGATTGAGTCGTAATGGCTTCAGTGAAGTCCACGCGCTGCTTGTGTCGCTGGTGTGTGTCAGCTGTTCTCTCAGAGCTGAAACATCAAGACTGTTTAGAAACAACACTGAATCACTTGAATGCAGTAACAGTGCTCTGTGCACTATACAGCTTCATTTCCATTGGACAGATTTAGAGCTGGGCGATAGAACGATAACGATATGTATCGCGATATAACTTTTTCTCGATAGAAAAATTTAACTATCGCGATAGACCTCGCCGCTCTTGTCCTCTTAATAAAAAAAAAAAAAAAAGAACAGCCAATCCAAATTAAGTAGCGCAGAGCCGAACCAATCACAGCCGCAGCGTCACGTCACGTGACTTGTTACGTACAGCACAAGTGCCAATCCGCACATGTGTATTTGTTTGGGAAGCAGCCAGCCACCGTACCGCCCGGGTAATGGAGGAAATGAGTGTGCCGACTAGAAAAATCAACCGAGCGTGACCGAAGAGAAAACAGATGATGGTTCCAACGCCGGAGAGATTGTCGAACGGAAGAGCCATAGAAGTTCCGTAGTGTGAAGGTATTTCAGCTATTTCAAGTCTGACAAAAACAGAGTAGCTGCACTGTAAAATGTGCCGAAAGCAAGTCTGGAAATACAATAAACTGGTGCATGCGCTACGTCCACACGTACCCGGGTATTTTTGAAAACGCAGATTTTTCTATGCGTTTGCACCTTTCGTCCACACGTAAACGGCGTTTTTGGTCACTGAAAATGGAGATTTTTAAAAACTCCGACCAGGGTGGATATTTTTGAAAACGTAGTTTTTGCATTTATGTGTGGACGAGAAAAACGGAGAAAACGCAGCGTCAAAGGTGTGCGCATTTTTTGACGTCACACTGTGCGCCACGTTATTGTTTCGGTGAAATGAATTTCTACAATACTGTTAATTCTACTCTCTGCAGTGTTTAAATGCTTACATATACACACAGTTACTGTCCGTCCACACATACGACTCGGTTCTGCTTCTAGACTTCTGATTGGCCAACATTTCTGCACGGTTAGGAATCTAGCGCCACCTGCTGCTTTGGCATGTTCATAGCAGCGTTTTCCTTCATTTCTGCCTTTATGTGTGGACGGGATTATTTTTAAAACGAAAACGGAAACTCCGTTTTCAAAAACACCCGTGTACGTGTGGACGTAGCCTCAGTCTCTGACTGGAAGCGCTAATTCGTCATTCGGCTTTTGTCAGACTAAAGTAACTGTTAAAACTGTTAGAAAAGCTCAGCTATACAACAAGGAGAGATTGAGAATTTCCTTTTAGTTCTCAGTTTATTTGATATTGACAAAAGTTAGTCAGTTTTGTCTGTTCTTCTGTAAAACAAACTAAGATTTATTTTTAGAATTAATATTTTGTTTCTAAGTGGAATTGACAATTTAGTCTGTTTCGTTTGTTCTATTTTGAAACTTAAACGCTTTAGCGGCTGCCTTTTGTGTAGTTTGCAATATTTGTCTTTATCTATCTGAAAAAGTCTCATGTTCCTTAAGTACATCTACCCTGTTGAACTTATTATGGGAAATAAATATTTAAATAAAAACAAGCTGCTGATTATTT